GCATTTGTGAGAATGACCATTTCGTATTCTCGGGGGCGGTCGATGTCTTCGAAAACGGCCGTGTTAGGTTAAAACTGTGCTGGAAAATGTGTTATTTTTGTTCGCCCCAACCTCACTTTTCCAATTAATTTGTCCATTTGTCTATTATATGATAACTAACTTCAGGTTTAAAATGTCAACCTCAATTTTGACATATTTGTAATCTTCTCTAAAGACTCACGGCTAAACCCGAAACTTTCTAATTCTAGGTCTAGTGTTAGTTCTAGTTTCTTATCTTATGTTAATTAGCGCTATCTAAACTTCAAAATTACATACATATGTTCCTTTTAAAACGTCAAAATGACATTTATTGTTGCAAACATGAAATTTTCAGGTTGACATGTTATAAACCTTCAAAATGAAATGTTCCACGTTAACGTTGGAGACGTTTTTAACTAATTTTTAATAATAATAAGTCGAAATTAATAAATTAAGCGATTTTCGAAACGGTTATTACGAAAATTTTTGATTTTTATTTGGTTGGGGGAATTTTTTGGGTTGGTATTAATTTTTTTCTCGACTAACTTTGAGGTTAAATTTGACATTTAGAGGTTAAATAAAATAAATTCTTTAATTTCGTATATTGAATCACTTTAACGCATTTTTATGTTCTAATTGATATGAAAAAAGTCAATTTTTTATTCCTTCCTTACCTTTATTTATTATATTTATGATTTGTATTAATTTTTTGAATATTATCGGGCCGATAAACCCAAAAAATAATAACAAATTGTAAGTACTTTTGTGATATATGATATAAAGATAAGTTTTTAATTATTTATGTTTCAGTTAATGTGGTGCTGTTGGAGAATCCAATATTTACAAAGAAAGAATCCAAAACTTCATCTTCGAGATTACCATGGAGATAATCGCCACTAAATAAAGCGTACAATAATATATATAAGGTAAGCTTTTTATACATAACATGTAATTTATGTATATTAACATATAAATGAACCAAAAGTAGTATTTTCCCCAAAATTTTAAACTTTAACCTCAAATTAATTAATTAATCGACACATAGATGTCGCCACTTACTAAAAACTTGAAATTGTCAAATCTTGCAAAGGGCGTTGAGGTTATGTTAAAACGTAATAACAAACTGATAATAGAAAAGGGCCCCACATGGCGAAATATATAGCTCAATTAATAGTAGCGGGTTCGCAAGTGATAGGTAGAGCGTTCGCTAGGGCCGTAAAAGAGGAAATAGCCGCATCGCAAGACGCCGCAAAAAGGTTAGGTAATAATAAAACGAGGGCCGAACGACTAAACAACACGAAAACGGGGCTTTCGCTCGAAGAGGCCAAACAAATTTTGAATATTGATAAATTGGATGTGGAGGAAATTAATAAACGTTACGATCACCTATTTAAAGTTAACGATAAAGGAAGTGGGGGATCGTTTTATATACAATCGAAAATCGTGAGAGCCAAAGAACGAATCGATATGGAATTTAACGCGACGAAAGCATCGGAAGGTCCGCCTAAAGTGTAAAAGTTAATTTTAGTTGTGTAGATGAAGAATGTGTAATTAATTAGAAAAGATAATTAAATTTATTCGTTTTATTTGTTAATTAATTTTTATCTAAACTTTGTTACATAAAAGCTTCATTTTATTGTCGATGTAGCTTCTTGAACAGCCTTCGTTTTGTGCGTCCCATCACAAAACGGTCTATTATTAGTTTGTTTACAATTACACAACCAATAATCTTTCGTTTTTTCAACTTGGAACCGAATCGGCCTAAAATCATTTTTTACAATTCAATGGTAACAATTTTTTATCTTACTTTTGTTTGATTTTTAATTGTGGGATCTTATGGGTCCCATCGCATAAAGGCTGATTCTTCGACCTCCCACACAAACACCACGAATATTTCTTTTCTATCAAAATCATAAAGAAAAAGCATGTTTTACGTATTATCATTATAAAGTGATTTACCAGTTTCTAAACGCATTTTAAAAGGTTTTTTGTCATAAACTATCCCATTTTCTGGTTGTTTATCGGCTGAAATAACCCCGGTTAAAACGTTTTTGGGAATATTAGCTTCGTTTGAGAAGTTAACCTAAAAAAAGTGAGGTTATGTTTACCTTGATTTAAGAAAATCGATTTTATAACCAACTTTTTGTGTTCTAAGGATGTTAATTAAGACCCTTTTGGTAATGATACTTCGTAAAACCATAATTATTAATTACAAATTGATTAAACGGTGAAAAATTATTAATAATGTTCGGTTCAAAGTTGATTAATTAAACTTTGATTATTAACCGATAGGTGGCGCTGAATTATTATTTTTTTTTTTTTAACTAAAATTAATTTTATTAATTAATTTTTTTAAATACTAATTGATTTAAAAAAAAATCGTTTTTTATTTTATTCTTTTAAATTAATATTCTTTTATATTTATATTTTATTTCAATTTATTTATAGCTTTAGTAACTATCTCATAGGTGGCGTTACAAAAGAAATTAATCCGTCAAATGTCAAGTTTGAAAAATTTAAAAAAATCTAATTTTTCTCGTTGAAATGACCTCGAGGTCGATTTTGCAAGTTTTCGATCAATACCAAAAGGCTCGCATTGCTTTTGTACAAACGGTGGCGGATTTGGCGATTCGGCCTCAAAACGTTGAAATTTTAAATCAGGCTCGCGTTATAGGTGAGGTTATGTCCAATTTTTACATTATAATAACTTAAAAATTTAATTTTAGATTTACTTCGGCCGTTAATCTCGGATATTTGCATGCAAATCCAGCAATGCGCAATTATAGCTTTGGGGCGATTAGTTAATCATGACCCGAAAATCGCCCAACAGATTTTAAACCAAGATTTTTTGCCGGTTTTAATCCACGATCTTGATAAACAAAATGTAAGTTATAATTAATTTCTTTATAAATAATTTTTTTATTTTAATTTTAGAAATACCACAAAAAGGCTGTTCTTTTTGTGTTACGCTCGCTTTGCAAACATGACGCAAATATGGCTATGGCTGTGGTTACTTCTGGAGGTCTTGAAGCGTTAATAATTTGTTTGGAGGATTTTGAGCCTATGGTGAAAGAAAACGCAGCTTGGGCGTTGGGTTACATTGCAAGGGGCAGTCCGAGTTTAGCCCAAAGCGTCGTCGACACAGGGGCTTTACCATTATTGGTGCTTTGCCTCCAAGAGCCAGAGATAACCTTGAAGCAAATTGGGGCGAGTTCTCTCTCTGATATTGCAAAGCACTCAATTGAGCTTGCGCAAAGTGTCGTTGATGCAGGGGCGGTACCCCATTTTGCTAAAAATTTAAATAATCCTGATGAGAAATTAAAAAAACAAGTTTTGCATGGATTAAGTAATTATAGCTTATTATTTTGTTATGGTTTATTTAAAATTTTTTGTTTAAGGTTGTATTGCAAAGCATTCGAATGATTTAGCAGAAGTTGTAGTTGAAGCAGAGATTTTCCCAAACGTTTTAATTCATATGGCGCATGCTTGCCCGGCTGTAAGAAAAAACGCAGCTTGTTTAGTGCGAGATGTTGTAAAGCACTCGTTGGAGCTAACCCAATTGGTGGTTAACACCGGGGGAATTGGAGCTGTTATTGAGTACATGGCCCAAAGCCTCGAGGAGTCTAAAGTCCCTTGCATCACAGCTTGCGGATACATTTCTGGTTAATCATTTTTATTTTGCATTAAATATAAATAAATTAAAACAATTTTTTGTTCCATTAGGACATTCTGATCTCTTAGCAATGTCTGTGATTGGTTGTCAAGGTGTCATCCAATTAAAAACGATTTTGGATGAAAGCGAGGATGATGCCACTTTGTGCGTTACGGCTTGGGCTTTGGGGCAAATTGGAAAACACAGCCCGGAGCATTCGAAAGCTGTGGCAGCTGCCGGCGTTTTCCCGAAACTCCTCAGTTTGTATTTAGCTTACAATTCCTCCGAGGATTTAAAGTACAAGTGTAAAGTTGCGTTAAAACAATGCCTACAAAAATGCTTGATGCTTTCCGCTTTGGAACCCCTTCTCAACGATTGCCCCAAGAACATTTTAAAATACGTTTTGGGACAATTCAGTAAGGTTAGTAAGGTTATTTCTTTAATCGATAGATGGCGCTAAATTAATTTTTTTAAAATTAATTTTGTTGCTATTCCTTTTTATTTTTAATTAATTTTTTTAAATATTAATTAATTAAAAGAGTTTCTTTTAAATTTAATTTAAATTCATATCATTTTTATAATTAAATTTTAATTAACGTTTTATTTACCATTTCATAGATGGCGCCACTAATACAATTTTAATCTGTCAAATGACAAGTTTAAAAAGTTTTATAAACTTGATTTTTTTCGTTAAAATGAGTTCATGTTAAATTTTGCAAATTATTAATTGCTAGAAATTTTAATTTTATGTAATTGAGGTTATGTCCGTTTATGTTTAAAAACAATTTTGGGCTAAAAACATTTTAAAATACGTTTTGGACCAATTCAGTAAGGTTATGTTGTATTTATTTCATTTGTTCAATCGATAGATGGTGCTAAATTAATTTTTTTATTTAATTTTGTTGCTATTCCTTTTTATTTTTAATTAATTTTTTTAAATATTAATTAATTAAATCAGTTTCTTTTAAATTTAATTTAAATTTATATTATTTTTATAATTAAATTTTAATTAACGTTTTATTTACCATTTCATAGATGGCGCCACTAATAAAATTTTAATCTGTCAAATGACAAGTTTAAAAAGTTTTATAAACTTGATTTTTTTCGTTAAAATGAGTTCATTTTAAATTTTGCAAATTATTAATTGCTAGAAATTTTAATTTTTTGTAATTGCGGTTATGTCCGTTTATGTTTAAAAACGATTTTGGCCTAAAAACATTTTAAAATACGTTTTGGACCAATTCAGTAAGGTTATGTTGTATTTATTTCATTGGTTCAATCGATAGATGGTGCTAAATTAATTTTTTTATTTAATTTTGTTGCTATTCCTTTTTATTTTTAATTAATTTTTTTAAATATTAAGTAATTAAATGAGTTTCTTTTAAATTTAATTTAAATTCATATTATTTTTATAATTACATTTTAATTAAAGTTTAGTTACAATTTCATAGATGGCGCTACCAATAAAATTTTAATCTGTCAAATGACAAGTTTAAAAACTTGATTTTTCTCGTTAAAATGAGTTCATGTTAAATTTTGCAAGTTTTTAATTGATAGAAATTTAATTTTTTGTAATTGAGGTTATGTTCGTTTATGTTTAAAAACGATTTTGCCCCAAGAACATTTTAAAATATGTTTTGGGCTAATTCAGTAAGGTTATGTTGTATTTATTTCATTTATTTAATCGATAGATTAAGTTTTTTAACTTAATTTTGTTGATATTACTTTTTATTTTTAATTAATTTTCTTAAATATTAATTAATTAAATCACTTTCTTTTAAATTTAATTTAAATTCATATTATTTTTATAATTACATTTTAATTAAAGTTTAGTTAGAATTTCATAGATGGCGCCACCAATTACATTTTAATCCGTCAAATGTCAAGTTTAAAAAATTTTTAAAACTTGATTTTTCTCTTTGAAATGGGTTCATATTAAATTTTGCAAGTTCTTAATTCCTAGAAATTTTAATTTTATATAATTGAGGTTATGTTCGTTTATATTTAAAAACAATTTTGGCCTAAGAACATTTTAAAATACGCTTTGGGTCAATTCAGTAAGGTTTTATTTAATTTTGTTGGTATTCCTTTTTATTTTTAATTATTTTTCTTAAATATTAATTAATTAAATGAGTTTCTTTTAAATTTAATTTAAATTCAAATTATTTTATAATTATATTTTAATTAAAGTTTAGTTACCAATTCATAGATGGCGCTACCAACAAAAATTTTAATCCGTCAAATGTCAAGTTTAAAAAGTTTTAAAAACATGATTTTTCTCGTTAAATGGGCTCAAGTTGAATTTTGCAAGTTCTTAATTACTAAAAAACTCTCATTACTTTCGTATAAACTTAGTGCAATTTAGTGATGTGGCCACAAAATGTTGGAATTTTAATTTTACGTAATTGAGGTTATGTCGGATTGTTTAAAACCGATTTTCGATGGATGTGATGAGGTGATGGCCCCAAGAACGTTTTAAAACGCGTTTTGGGTCAATTTGGTGAGGTTATGTTTAATTTATTTCATTTATTTACTGAGTGTGCGCGTTAAATTATTGATTTTCGGCGTTTTTTCGCGTTTCGATTTCGTCTCTTGCGAATCTGGTGAATTCGCGAGTGATATTACGAAATTGAAATAAAATGTTGGTGTTTCAAGTGCCGCAGTGACGACGATGCACAATAGTGATTCGGCGGGCGTCGCTGAACTCCTGGAAGTGCGCGGAAAACGGGTCACCAACCCAACAAGAAGCAACGTTTTCTCGGGTTCGGGGCCCCTTCGATTCTCGTTAAAGAGGTTAAATGAATCGCCGCAATTGTTGGAGTCTAAATCTGAATCGAGTATAAGTTCAAAACATGAAAACGCTGAAGGAAATGTTAGGTGAGGTTAAAAATTGGGTTAACTTTTTATCTTGTCTTATTAATTCTCTTTTTTTTAGGTTAAATGTGGTAAATTTAACAAGCGAGAACTTTGCTTGCAAGAAAATACGTGAGATAAGAGAAGCGGAGGACGTAAAAGCGTTGAAAAAGTTGTTTGATTCGATTGGAAATATAAATATTGATAATAATAAGAATCGAGGGAAAGCGAGGTTAGGAAAAGTGACTTCAATCGATGTTGACGAGGTGTACGAGGCTTTTTACGGGCGGTATTATAATCACCTGCGTGAAATAATCAGTAGGGATTAAAAAGAGAAGTGCGCTAAAAAGTTTTGCGAATGCGCTTTACGTTCAGTTGTATAAAAAGCTTGTAAGAGACGCGCTGAAAAATTAAAATCAACTTCTGTGATATAACCGTGCCCAAAAAGAAAATCTAAAAAAAGAAATAAATAATCCTTAAAGATAACCAAGAAGATAAAGAAGCTAAATCAGAAATAAAAAATTGTTATTAAGCTTTGTAAGAAGAAGAGTAATTGGATTAATTTGGATTTACTAAAAAAAAACACCAAAAAAGAGAACCTCAAATTAATTTTTAATTAAAAATGGATTGTAAATGCAAAAATGTTCCGAATCACGTAAAAACGACCGATTTAGATCGAAAAGTATTGAGGGAAACTTTATATTCGGAGATATTCCAGCGACATCGAAGATCGATTTTCGCGCTCGGCTCGTTTTTGAGAATGTTAAAAACGAAAAAGTCGAATTATAACGTGATTAAACAGGATAACGAGTCGGAATAATTATTTTAACATTAATTTTCAAGGTTACAAAAATAAAAAAGTTTTAATTAAATTAAAACCGCACCTTTTTTACGGTTCAAATAGAACCGCACCTAATTTAATAATAGATAATAACCTGGATAACAATAAAATGGTACACACCTCGTTTTTGGATATTTGTTGGTTCCATTTAATGTTAAATTTAAGTTTATGCACTAAACAAATTTGTATAAATTAATTGGGATGTGAATTGAAAATTTAAATGATACATTTTTCGCGTGTTATACACCTCGGGTTATTATTATAATCATTGTACACTGCTTTATGTATAAAAATGCTGTTTTTAATAAAAAAGTTTTCTAATTTTTTTTTTATTTCTTCACCAATCTACGAATAACGTTCCTTTTAGTTACTCGTATATGTTTTACGTTATTAAAATTACAAATTAATTTAAATTTTATTAAATTATGCTAAAATATTTGACATGACGAGAAGTTAGTTACAAACGTACTTTTTCCAACAGATGGCGCTACCTTCGAGGCGTCTTTTTCAAGTGTCATTTATTGACGTTTCATAAAAAAAAATGTATTTAGCTTATTTCTTATTCAATTCACTTGAAAAAGTAAGATCTTGTATAGTTGGTTATTTCGTATCTTGTGAGTTGGGTTGACTTCCTATGAATCGGTAATATGAAAGAAAATCTTCGAGGATGCTGCACTAAGTGAGTAAAATAAACTTTTTTTAATGAAACGTCAAAAAATGTCACCTTCGTCACTTCGAAGACGTCGGTCTCCCCCCGAGGGCACGAATTGTCCATTCTGAAAAATACGAGTAGAGATCCAACTTAGGGATTTTAATGTTATAGAGTCCGCGATGGCAAGGGCGGCCGATGTCTTCGAAAACGGCCGTGGTGGTTTAAAGCTGTGCTAGAAAATGGTGATTTCTAATTTCTTTCTCAACACAACGTAACCTCACTTTTTTAAATGACATTTTTTTGACGTTTCTTTAAAAACATTTAATTTAACTCACTTGGTTTTAGAAGTAAACCTAAAACGAAATTTGCGTCGTAGAAGTTCGTTTTAGTCGCGTTTTAAGTTATTAAAAAAGAAATCAAATAGTAATTCGCTGTATTCGTGGTTTTAAATTCCGCTAAAATATTTGACATGACGAGAAATTAGTACTTTTTCCAACAGATGGCGCTACCTTCTAGGCGTCTTTTTCAAGTGTCATTTTTTGACGTTTCATAAAAAAATGTATTTAGCTTATTTCTTATTCAATCGGTAGTAACGATTTTAAAAAATGTCACTTGAAAAAGTAAGATCTTGTATAGTTGGTTATTTCATATCTTGTGAGTTGGGTTGACTTCCTATGAATCGGTAATATGAAAGAAAATCTTCGAGGATGCTGCACTAAGTGAGTAAAATAAACTTTTATTAATGAAACGTTAAAAAATGTCACCTTCGTCACTTCGAAGACGTCGGTCGCCCCCCGAGGGGACGAATTGTCCATTCTGAAAAATACGAGTAGAGATCCAACTCAGGGATTTTAATGTTTTAGAGTCCGCGATGGCCAAGGGCGGCCGATGTCTTCGAAAACGGCCGTGGTAGTTTAAAGCTGTGCTAGAAAATGGTGATTTCTAATTTCTTTCTCAACACAACGTAACCTCACTTTTTCAAATGACATTTTTTTGACGTTACTTTAAAAACATATTATTTAACTCACTTGGTTTTAGAAATAAAACTAAAACGAAATTTGCGTCATAGAAGTTCGTTTTAGTCACGTTTTACGTTATTAAAAAAGAAATCAAATAGTAATTCGCTGTTTTCGTGGTTTTAAATTACGCTAAAATATTTGACATAACAAGAAGTTAGTACTTTTTTCAACAGATGGCGCTACCTTCTATGCGTCTTTTTCAAGTGACATTTTGTGACGTTTCATTAAAAAAAATGTGTTTAACTCATTTTGCGTTAGAAATAAAACTAAAACTAAGTCAAAGACGCACGGCATAACCTCAAAATTTCTAGTTTTAGTTTTATTTCTTATTCAATGAGCAGTAACGATTGTGAAAAATGTCACTTGAAAAGTGAGATCTTGTGTAGATGAATATTTCGTATCTTGTGATGGCTTCCTATAAATCGGTAATACGAAAGAAAATCTTCAGGGATGCAGTAAGTAGTTTACGTTATTAAAATTACAAATTAATTTAAATTTTATTAAATTATGCTAAAATATTTGACATGACGAGAAGTTAGTTACAAACGTACTTTTTCCAACAGATGGCGCTATCTACGATGCGTCTTTTTCATGTGACATTTTTTGACGTTTCATTAACAAAAATTTTTTTAGCTCATTTTCCGTTAGAAATATAATGTTTATTTCATCAAAATAAAGTTTTAGGTATTAATTTAAGTTTAATTAAAATAAAATTTAACGAATCTATCATACCAATATACTTAATTAATTAAATTAATAACAACCTCAAAACAAAAAAATTACTAAAAAAAAATTTGACATGTGTAGTATGGAACAATAGATGGCGTTACGGGTTAATAAAAATACTTGTATCGGCGGCCATGTCACTTTTTACTTTTTATCTAGTCGTTGTACCGTCCGCAGCTAGTTAACGTGAATTGTATCTAAAAGCACCGTTTTATTAGTAAATGATTATAGTTTATTGGAACTTTAATTTATTAACACCTTACACATCATACGACACATGACATATGTCAAATTTTGACACAAACATAACCTAAAAGATTAAAACTGTTTTATGTATAAAAATGCTGTTTTTAGAAAAAAGTTTTCTATTTTTTTTATTCCTAATCTTATTATATTAATTGAATTAATTTTTTAATTCTTAATTTGATTAGTTTTTATTTTTTAGGTTCTTCCAAATGATGCAAAAGCGCGTAGATTATTTGTAACAAGCGGTGGATTAAGTAAAGTACAAGAAATCGATGCAGAACCCGGCTCAACTTTATTAGAGTACATAACAATAATAAATTCATGTTTCCCCGAAGAAATTGTACGATATTATTCTCCCGGATATCCAGATACTTTATTAGAAAAGGTTGAGCAATACTCACCGCAAATGATGACCATTCTACGAGAAACCGACGTCAAAAATACCGATGCGCAAACTCACGATACCCCAACTCAAGACACTTCTAATAATAGCCAAGAAATGAATTTGGTCGAGAGTCAATCTTTACTTTTTTAAAGGATTCATAAAGAAGTTTTGTAGAGAAATGAGTAAGAAGATTATTGTTTATTTATTCCCAGCATTTACAAGATAATTTTCTTGTTTAATAAAACTTTTATTGAATAAGATTTGTTTATTTGAGTTAAAAAATGATAAAGAAAAAAAATGAGGTTATTTTTTTTTGTCGTTTATGAAATATAACCTCAACCTTTTTTTCTTTAATATTTATAAGTTTTTTAATTTAAATATGATAAATCGAGACGGTTTTAATTAATTTTAATTGATTTTAACGAAGGAACATAAAGAAAATAAGTAATATTGTAAGTAACTTTTGTTTCTGATAATTATTTTTTATTTCATACCATTTATTTTGTAGATACAACTTAAATGAATAAAATTGTTTCAACAACATTATTTATTTTTCGAATTCCCTATTTTGCTTAAAATAACGCCATCTATTATTCACACGCTGAATTATTGATAAAATTGGGTTGGTTCGAAACTCGGCTAATGAAAATACTATACCGGGCGGCTCAAACAAAAATTGAAAATTAGAATTTGTGATACAACATTTTTGAAAATGGATCTTTTATTTAAATCACCCGGTATAATTTTTAAATTAGTCGAGTTTCAAACCATCGTTAATTTGTAATGTGGCGCCATCTGTTATTCACATACGGAATTATAGACAAAATTGTGTTGGTTGGAAACTCGGCTAATAAAAATATTGTACCGGGCGGCTCAAACAAAAATTGAAAATTTTATTTTGTGATACAAAAATTTTTGATAATGGATTTTTTATTTGAATCACCCGGTATAATTTTTTCATTAGTCGAGTTTCAAACCATCCGTAATTTGCAAAGTAGCGCCATCTGTTATTCATATGCGGAATTATCACCAAAATTGGGTTGGTTCGAAACTCGGCTAATAAAAATATTATACCGGGTGGTTCAAACAAAAATTGAAAATTAAATTTTTGGGGACGGAATTTTTTAAAATAAATCTTTTATTTGAATCACCCGGTATAATTTTTTCATTAGTCGAGTTTCAAACCATCGTTAATTTGCAAAGTGGCGCCATCTGTTATTCACATGCGGAATTATAGTCGAAATTGGGTTGGTTCGAAACTCGACTAACGAAAAAATTATACCGGGTGGTTTAAACAAAATTAGAAAAATTAATTTTTCGAAACGAAATATGTCAAATTGTTTGAGCCACCCGGTATAATTTTTTATTAGCCGAGTTTCGAACCTTAGGGGTTTTATATAGCGGCGCCATCTATTATTTGATTGCGGAACTAATCGAAGCAAATTTTTGAATTGGGGTTGGTTTGAAACTTGGCTAATAAAAAGTATTATACCGGGCGATTCAACATATTATTTATTTTATTTGGCATAATTTTTTCTTATTTGAGTTTTAAAGTAAATTTTATGGTTTTTCTTATTGTTGTTGTAATAAATAATAAATAGTTTAAGAAATTAATTTTTTGTTTTATTTTTAAATAAATAAATACATATACCTTATAAATAAATCACTTTGAGTATTATCACACTAAATCAATTTTTTTGTTTATGATTTCTTTTCCGCACCAACATTTCTCCATTTCGTTGAATATTTATTTAAACCTTGCACGTTTTTCCCCATGCTATTTGCTATACTATTTAGTTGCGCGTTACTAAAATTATTTTTAACATCCTCCTTGGTTGGAATTTTATTTTGCACCGACGTTGTTGTTGTTGTTTCGGAATAGGTCGTTTTCCATTCGCCCTCTTCGTTGCGTATTTTCACTTGATACTCAAACGGTTTATTAGTATTTTCCGCCTTATTTTCTAAATTAGAGATAGGAATTGTGTTGGGAAACAATTTTTGTTCATAATAATTAAAAATTAAGCGAGTAAAAGTTAATGAGTGGTCACTAATTTTAGTTGTACAACAAAAAATTGGTAACCAAACGTTTCCAATTGCGTTTCTATTGGTGTTTGGGTGCTGAAACATGTTGAATAAATGTTCCATTATTTTTTCTAGGGTTAGTTTCCGGTCTTTGGGGAGATTCTCAAGATGAGTTTCGACGAGCCTTTTTCTTTGATCCGAGGTAAGTCTTTCTAAAAATTGTCTTATTTATTTATTTATTTAAACAGATAATTTTAATTTACCGTAATTGTCGCAATAATCCAAAAATATTTCTTCGGGGACTAATTTATCGTTTAATTCTTTTAGAATCTTTAACAATATTATCGCTAAATCCAACGGCTCCATCTTGCTTATATCTGGGTTTTTTTTGGAAATCCTCCTTTTAAATTTATTCATGTACTCTTTACTCGAAGAGGTTATGTAGAGATCTTTCGTACCTACTTTTCCTTCTAAAACCTTTAAAATATCGCAAATCACCCACGGGATCGATTCATTTTCGCGCTTCGGCAAAGATTCGAACGGATAATCATAAAAAGGATTATCATTAACTAAAATAAAACGATATTAATGAATTTAAATTTTTAGGTTAAGTTTATGTCAAAATTTAAAAAATAACACCAACTTCGAAAAAAAAGTTACTAAATAAAATTAATGTCAAATTTTGACATAAACATAACCTAAACGTCAAAATTAACCTTTTTTCGATTCCGATCCAAACGAGCTTAAACTCCAACTGCTCCCAAATAAAGCTTCCTTAGATTCGGTCTTTTTAAGCCCGAAAATTCCACCAACAAACGAAGCCATCGTGTTTTTGGTTGTTCCTTCTTCCGAAAATTGCCGTTCGATTACTTTTTCTTCCGGAACCATCGCTAAATCCTCTTTAATCTTAGTTTCTTCGCCCCTAAATTCCTTTTAAAATAAATTAGGATCGAATCAAACCAATTTAACAAAATAAATTATTTATATTCCTTTGGTATGTATGAATAAATAAATAAAGACACATAAAGTGAGTTTATCTAATCTAAATAGAAAGAAGCGTACTCAAGAAAACATGCTTTTTAACATAAATCACATTATTTAACATTTTTTTTTTTTTGGTATAACGATGGCACATAAATGCTTCACACAACGTGTTAAGTTAATTTCCACATGCACAATTTGCACAAAACGAACAACGCGCTAACTCACGGATGAAGTTAATTGTTGCAAATCCATTTTGTACGAGACGAAAATCATTTCCACCACTTTATTCGCCAACAAACTAAAATTAACCGCGTTGTAACCCGGATCGGGGTTTTTATCTTGTTGGTACCAAATTAAAGAGGGGCCCCAAACGATCGCTAAGCTTTGTAGGGTCATTTTGTTGTAGGAGCTGTTTGATTCGATTTTTAATAAATGCTCGATTAATTCTTTTAAGTTCTCTTTAAAAGGGGATTCGATTTCGTTTATTGTTTCGATTACTTGGGTTGAGCGTTCGTTTGGGCTAAGCTTTGTGTTTTCTAAAAAATTTAAAATTTTAATTCAAATTATTTATTTATTTATATCTTACCCATGATTTTATTTAGCTTCTCAAAATCTTTATGGGGCAAAACTGGGTCGACCAATTCTCTATAAAATAATTTTAAAGTTCCGGTTAAAACTTCGACGTCTTTGACGTGTTTATCTAAAATTTTGATGTTATTCTCGTCGATTTGTAGCCTAATTTTTTGTATAACAGCCATATTCCCGGAAATCCTATAAATGTACTCCGTTTTGATGTTATCTTCTTGCTCGATTAAAGCCATGATTTTTTTGACAAAGGGAGGAACGGCGTTTCCTTCAAAACGATCCCTCAAAACGGGTAATTTATTCCCGAAAACATTTTCGTTCTTTAATATACCCTTTTTTTCTAATAAATGTTTATCGGAACGACGCCGCAAGAATTTGCGCAAAAAGTTTCGGCTGTCGGCCAAAATCGAGTCTTGATTTCGAATGGGATTTTTAAAAACGACGGTTCTAATTCCGTCTTTCGTTTTGTAGGTGATTTGGTGTTTTTCGATTTCTACTTTTCCTTCGACCATTTCCGTCCTGAGTAGGCAATCGTTGCTGAAAAATTGGATTTGGTGCTCTCCGATTTCGATCTTTCCATTGTCAACTTTTAATTTTGTGTTGTTGTCGCCTTTTAATTTATATGGTCCTTTTGTGAAACTGAAATAAAAAAAAATTTGTTTTAAATTTAATATTTAAAGAAATATTTGGCTAGATATATAAATATATAGATAGTAAAATTAAAGTGGAATATATAATCTGGTCCTTGATACATAATATACATATACATAGTAATTTTGGCCAACTGTATAAGGTTATATTGAGAAGCAGGGATGATTGGACGAAGGGTGAGCTTCAACTCAAAAGGTTGGTGCATTGATGCTTTAAAGATAGTTTGATTCGGAATAAATAGTGAACCAAATAGCTACATTAAGTTGCCTCTCAGCTCGGATGTAACAATTTTTCAAGCTAAAGTTTTTGCAATAAACTTCTGCGCCGTTTTGGACCTAAAAAAGGAAGCAGAAAGGTGCATCGATAAATATTTTCAATTATAAAAGGGCGGGTGACCTTAGAGATTTTTGATAGTACCTGGTTGTATCTATGGTTGAAGTTAAATATCTAGGAGTAATCCTAGATAAAACCCTCTCATGGAATAGATATTTGCAGGGAGTTTTACACAAAGCTAGACTATCCTTGTGGAATTGTCGTAGACTTTGTAGAAAAAATTAGGGTTTTGCCCCTAAAAGACTGTACTGACTCTATGTAACTGTGGTTAGAGCTAGAAATCCTTCTTAAGAAAGGTGTGAAGAACTCTGTTTAATGCTGTAAAAGAACTTTAAAAACACTGAGTTATGATAATAGAGCTTCTCTGATCGGGATGTCCCAGGTCACTTTGGGGTTGCTAGCAATGAAGCGGCAGATGAGGTAACACGAGAGAATTGAAATGTGGACTGAAATTATTGTGGACCAGTTCTTCTAGAATGAGACATACTAAGTTGTTTATTAACATTGACACTGTCAAAAACCCGGGAATATATTAGTACTTGCTCGTAGTAGCTTTACAAAAAATTGTGTCACTGAGGCACTGCCTCGGTCGCAAGCGACCTCGGCTATAAATAGAGAACGATAAACTTTTTTTAAAGTTCTTTTTTTGAGGTTAATATAAATATATCTACTTCGTTGAATATCAAAATATCCAAAATCAGTTATTTTTGAATACACTCTCTGATCAGTGCGGAGAAAGCTTGACTAAACAGGTCTTCTTTTATTATATTTATTCCTTTTATTAGAAATCGTGTGTCAAACTTAATAATTCTTTCAACCCTAACTCAATCAAATTAATTTTTTTTTTCAAAATATATATTATAATATATTATAATTATATTATATTATTATTTATTATATACTATTTTTTTATTTTTTCCTCCCATGTCTAAGAAAATATATTACTGAGCCACCGCTTCGGCCCCGCAAGTGATCTCGTCTGTAAATGCAGAACGATACACTTTTTTAAAATTCTCTTTTTGGGATTAATTAGAAATATAGTCACTTATTTTAACATCAAAAATTCTAAAATCAGTTCGTTTTGGACGATGGGTTTGATATTTTGTCATTCATGACTGACAAAAAGTGTTAATGAGCCACTGCCTCGGCCGCAAGCGACCTCGGGTTTTTGAGGTTAATAAAAATATATCTACTTGGTTAAATATCAAAGTATTCAAAATGAGTTATTTCTTGAGATTGGCTTTCTTTTTTCCATCCATATCTAAGAAAATATATAATTGAGCCACTGCCTCGGCCGCAAGCGACCTCGGCTATAAATACAGAATGATACACTATTCTAAAGTTCCTTTTTTGAGGTTAATAGAAATATATCTACATGGTTAAGTATCAAAGTGTCCAAAATCAGTTATTTCTTGAGGTTGGCTTTCTTTTTTCCGTCCATATCTAAGAAAATATATAATTGAGCCACTGCCTCAGCCGCAAGCAACATCGGCTATAAATATAGAATGATACAGTTTTTTACAGTTCTCTTTTTAGAATTAATTAGAAATACAGTAACTTGTTTGAGCATCAAAAGGTCTAAAATTGGTTCTTTTTAGACGATACCTTTGATATTTTGTCATTCATGACTAAGAAAAAGTGTTAATGAGCTACTGCCTCGGCCGCAAGCGACCTCGGCTATAGATACAAAACGATAAACTTTTTCAATGTTCTCTTTTTGGAATGAATAAAAAATATATCCACTTAGCTAAGCATCAAAGATTCTAAAATCAGTTGTTTTTGGATGATGGGTTTGATATTTTGTCATTCATAACTGAGAAAAGTATCAATGAGCTACTGCCTCGGCCGCAAGCGACCTCGGCTATTAATATAAAACGATACACTTTTTTAAAGTTCTCTTTTTAAGGTTATTAAAAATATACCTACATGGTTAAGTATCCAAGTGTCCAAAATCAGTTATTTTTTGAGATTGGCTTTCTTTTTCCGCCCATATCTAAGAAAATATATAATTGAGCCACTGCCTCGGCCGCTAGCGACCTCGGCTATAAATACAGAATAATACAATTTTTTATAGTTCTCTTTTTAGGATTAATTAGAAATACAACTACTTATCTGAGCATCAAAAATTTTAAAATCAGTTCTTTTTGGACGATACCTTTGATATTTTGTCATTCATGACTAAGAAAAAGTGTTAATAAGCCACTGCCTCGGCCGCAAGCGACCTCAATTATAAATACAGAACAATAAACTTTTCCAAAGTTCTCTTTTTGAAATGAATAAAAATATATCCACATAGCTGAGCATCAAAGATTCTAAAATCAGTTGTTTTTGAATGATGGCTTTGATATTTTGTCATTCATGACTAAAAAAAAGTGTCAATGAGCTACTGCCTCGGCCGCAAGCGACTTCGGCTATAAATATAAAACGATACACTTTTTTAAAGTTCTCTTTTTGAGGTTAACAGAAATATATCTACATGGTTAAGTATCAAAGTATCCAAAATCAGTTATTCCTTGAAGTTAGCTTTCTTTTTTCCGCCCATATTTAAAAAAATATATAATTGAGCCACTGCCTCGGTCGCAAGCGACTTCGGCTATAAATACAAAATAATACAGTTTTTTACAGTTCCCTTTTTAGGATTAATTAGAAATACAGTCACTTGTCTAAGCATCAAAAGTTCTAAAATTAGTTCTTTTTGGACGATACCTTTGATATTTTGTCATTCATGACTAAGAAAAAGTCTTAATGAGCCACTGCCTCGGCCGCAAGCGACCTCGGCTATAAATACAGAACGATAAAGTTTTTCACAGTTCTCTTTTTGGAATGAATAAAAATATATCCACTTAGCTAAGCATCAAAAAGTCTAAAATCAATTGCTTTTGGACGATGGCTTTGATATTTTATCATTCATGATTGAGAAAAAATGTCAATGAGCTACTGCCTCGGCCGCAAGCGACCTCGGCTATTAATATAGAACAATACACTTTTTTAAAGTTCTCTTCTTGAGGTTAACAGAAGTATATTTACTTGGTTAAATATCAAAGTGTTAAAAAACAGTTATTTCTTGAGATTGACTTTCTTTTTTCCGCCCATATCTAGGAAAATATACAATTGAGCCACTGCCTCGGCCGCAAGCGACCTCGGCTATAAATACAGAATGATACAGTTTTTTACAGTTTTCTTTTTAGGATTAATTAAAAATAAAATTACTTGTCTGAGCATCAAAAGTTCTAAAATCAGTTCTTTCTGAACGATAACTTTGATATTCTGTCATTCACGACTGAGGAAAAATGTTAATGAGCCACTGCCTCGGCCGCAAGCGACCTCGGCTATAAATACAGAACGATACACTTTATCAAAGTTCTCTTTTTGGAATGAATACAAATATATCCACTTAGCTGAGCATCAAAGATTCTAAAATCAGTTGTTATTGGATGATGGCTTTAATATTTTGTCATTCATGACTGAGAAAAAGTGTTAATGAGCTACTGCCTCGGCCGCAAGCGACCTCGGCTATGAATATAAAATGATACACTTTTTTAAAGTTCTCTCTTTGAGGTTATTAGAAATATATCTACATGATTAAATATCAAAGTATCCAAAATCAGTTATTTTTTGAGATTGACTTTCTTTTTTCTCCCATATCTAAGAAAATATATAATTGAACCACTGCCTCGGCCGCAAGCGACCTCGGCTATAAATACAGAATGATACAGTTTTTTATAAATACAGTCACTTGTCTGAGCATGAAAAGTTCTAAAATTAGTTCTTTTTGGACGATACTTTTGATATTTTGTCATTCATGACTAAGAAAAAGTGTTAATAAGCTACTGCCTCGGCCGCAAGCGACCTCGGCTATAAATATAAAACGACACACTTTCTTTAAAATTCTCTTTTTAAGGTTAATACAAATATATCTACTTTGTTGAGTAACTAAAGTTTCCAAAATCAGCTATTTTTAGATGGTGGCTTTAATATTTTAGAATTTATGTATAAAAAAAGTGTTACTGAGCCACTGCCTCGGCCGCAAGCGACCTCGGCTGTAAATTGAAAACGATACATTTTTTTAAAGTTCTTTTTTTGGAATTAATAGCAGAGAACTAGATTCTGCTTCCAGAAGACTATATACTGCTGGTAAACAACTTAATAGTGCAGATAGAAGACTTGATATTACTAGTAGACGGTGCCAAAAGCCTAGAGTACTCGTAAAGAGCTAAATACTTCTGGTAAGAGACCATATGTTCCTGTCAGAAGACTATACTGCATGCAAAAGACTAGATATTGCTGGTAAAAGACCAAATAGTACTACCAGAACTCTAAATATTGTTGGCAGAAGATCAAATATTTCTGCCAGAAGACTATAACACTCGTAAAGAGCTAGATACTTCTCGATATACTCCTTCCAAAAGACTATACTGCATGCAGAGGACTACATATTGCTTGTAAAAGACCAAATCCTCTTGCCAGAAATAACCACTGATAGAATTCACAATGTTGTTACCAATTTTTCATCGTTCTCGGATATTATATATACCTTTTTATTTTATCTTATCTCATCCTTCGATAAAAAAAATTCAACATACCCTTTAATACTATTCGTAGTTTCATGAATAGTTTGAGCGTATTCCTTCCTATTCGAGCTCGATTCGCTTCTCCTTAACTCAACCCCGCCGATGCCATCATCAGGAATCGCCGGGAATTTCGCTGGTTTAGGCCTCGTCGGTGAATTGGAATGTTTTTGGTCGAATTCCGTGCATTTATCAAGAATCTCCTGCAATAAAAAACCAACTTAATTAATATAAAATAATTAAATTAACCTTTTTTTAACCTCAACGCCCAAAATTGATCTCATTCTATTATGTAAATACAAATAAAAAAAATTTCTTATCGTTTACTCATTGAAAACTCGAACGAAACTAACAGTTATTTTTTTCATATTGTGTTTTGAACGTTTCGATAACGAGAATATCTACGTTACGTAGAGATAAGAAACAAAGCCCACCGTTTTTCTCGTTTATTTTGTTTTTTTTTTAAATTTTATTTAGTAATAATAATAATAAATAAAACGTACCATTATGTATTATAATTTTTAATCATAGATTTTAAAATAAACCAAACGAGAAATGAACTAAACCGATTCTATTCAACAACAAAAACATAATAATTGTTTCATCCTAAATATCTCCCTCTCTCCATCTCTGTTTCTCTCGATTTTTAAACCGCAGCTTCCTTCGAAACCAATTGAATCATCGCGCGTTATATCGACGGAGTAAATAAAAAAAAAACGTTTGTGAATGAAATTATTATTGTAATGATTTGTTCATTTTGCTAAGTGACTCAAAAATGCGTGGCATTCCGATAAAATTAGACTTAAACAATTATTTCAAAACCGTTTTTCTTTATCTATAAACGTGTTGAAAGAAAAATACAGTAAAAACTCGAATAATAACGGGGAAAATTATTAATTTTACGTGTGTCTACACAAAAACGAAAGTTTTCTTCGTTATCAATGCAATATCATTGCCGAGGCAGCTATGCTGTTGAGGCAAGAGTGCAATTTATTTAAAAAAAAGGAAGTTTTTTTCCATTATAAAGGTGATATGATCGCCGAGGCAGCTATGCTACTGAGGCAAGAGCGCAATTTATGTAAAAAAAGGAAGTGTTTTTTCATTATAAAAGTAATATCATTGCCGAGGCAGCTATGCTGCTGAGGCATGTTCAAAATTTAAATAATTGAAATTATTTAGGAAGTTTCCTTCATTACAAATATATCATATAATTGCCTCAGCAGCTTAGCTGCTGAGGCAGGAGTGCGCGAATACACAAAACCGAAAGTTTTCTGTCCTACAAATATATTATATAATTGCCGAAGCAGCTGAGCTGCTGAGGCAAGAGCGTAACTACTTAAGATATAATTTAAGAAATTTTCTTCATTATAAATATATCATATAATTGCCGAAGCAGCTTAGCTGCTGAGGCAGGAGTGCAAGAATACACAAAACCGGAAGTTTTCTGTCCTACAAATATATTATATAATTGCCGAAGCAGCTAAGCTGCTGAGGCAAGAGCTTAACTACTTAAGAAATAATTTAGAAAGTTTTCTTCATTACAAATATATTATATAATTGCCTCAGCAGCTTAGCTGCTGAGGCAGGAGTGCGCGAATACACAAAACCGGAAGTTTTGTGTATTACAAATATATTACATAATTGCCGAAGCAGCTAAGCTGCTGAGGCAGGAGCGTCACTAATTAAGAAATAATTTAGAAAGTTTTCTTCATTATAAATATATTATATAATTTCTGAAGCAGATAAACTGCTGAGGCAGGAGCGTAAATAGTTAAGAAATAATTTATGAAGTTTTCTTAATTATAAATATATCATGTAACTGCCGAAGCAGCTTAGCTACTGAGACAGGAGTGCAAGAATACACAAAACCGGAAGTTTTTTGTATTACAAATATATTATATAATTGCCGAAGCAACTAAGCTGCTGAGGCAGGAGCGTAACTACTTAGGAAATAATTTAGAAAGTTTTCTTCATTACAAATATATCATATAATTGCCGAGGCAGCTTAGCTGCTGAGGCAGGAGTGCACGAATACATAAAACCTTAACTTTTCTGTATTACAAATATATTATATAATTGCCTCAGCAGCTTAGCTGCTGAGGCAGGAGTGCAAGAATACACAAAACCGGAAATTTTCTGTATTATAAATATATTATATAATTGCCGAAACAGCTAAGCTGCTGAGGCAGGAGCGTAACTACTTAAGATATAATTTAAGAAGTTTTCTTCATTATAAATATATTATATAATTGCCTCAGCAGCTTAGCTGCTGAGGCAGGAGTACGCGAATACACAAAACCGGAAGTTTTCTGTATTACAAATGTATTATATAATTTCTGAAGCAGATAAACTGCTGAGGCAGGAGCGTAAATAGTTAAGAAATAATTTATGAAGTTTTCTTAATTATAAATATATCATGTAACTGCCGAAGCAGCTTAGCTTGCGAGGCAGGAGTGCGCGAGTATACAAAACCTTAAATTATTCAGTAGGTACACTATTGCCTCGGCAATGATATAATACGTTTCTAATGAAGAAAACTTTCGTTTTTAAAGTAAATTGCGCTCTTGCTTCAACAGCGTAGTTGCTTCGACAATTATAATAATATATTATATTTATAATAAAGAAAATTTCTCAGCAGCTTAACTGCTTCGGCGATTATTCATAATAAAGATAACTTCCGATTTTGTGTATTCGCACACTTCTGCCTCAGCAGCTCAGTTGCTTCGACAAGTATATGATATATTTATATTGAATAAAACTTCCTAAACTATTCTGTAGTTACACTGTTGCATCGTCAGCTTAGCTGCCTCGGGTATTACATTTATAACAAAGAGAACATCCATTTTTTAAGTAGACGAGCTCCTTTACACTCTTGCCTCAGCAGCTCAGCTGCTTCGGCAATTATATGATATATTTATATTGAATAAAATTTCCTAAATCATTCAATAGTTACGCTGTTGCCTCGACAGCTTAGCTGCCTCGGTTATTACATTTATAACAAAGACAACATCAATTTTTTCAGTAGACGTGCTCCTGCCTCAGCAGCTTAGCTGCTTCGGCAATTATATGATACGTTTATAATAACAAAAACATTCGTTTTTGAATTAAATTGCGCTCTTGCCTCAGCAGCTTAGCTGCTTCGGCAATTCTATAATATATTTACAATAAAAAAAAATTCTGATATGTGTACGTGCGCACTTCTGCCTCAGCAGCTACGCTGCTTCGGCAATTATTTTATATACTTATAATAAAAAAACTTCCGTTTTTTAAATAAATTGCGCTCATGCCTCAGCAGCATAGCTGCCTCGGCAAATATTATTACATTTATAACGAAGAAAACTTCTTTTTTTTTTAATAAATTACGCTCTTGCCTCAGCAGCTTAGCTGCTGAGGCAACTTTTCATATAAGGTACTTTTGGCTATAACGGACACTCCCTTCCCCGTAATATAGTCCGTTATATCAAAGTTTTTTTACTATATTATAAATTCTTTCATTTAATTTATTAATTTATTTTTCCTATTTACGTTATTATTCTTTAACACGGAACTATACATTTCTCGTTTACTTACGTTTTGTACGTAAGTCGATTAAAACGAGTCATTTGTATGAATTTATTAAATTTATTATGAAAGACACGTTTCGCGGCCGCGTCATCGTCACTCCGGTGACGTTCGTTATTATTCACGCGGACAGGAAATGTTTTTTAACATTACTTTATCGCTAAAACGGGGCAATCAAAAGAAAACCACACGCGGATAACTTATTTCTTTATAAACAATTTCTTTAGAAATATTTTAAAATTTAATAAAAAATAATTTTTATTTATAAAATCGTTTCATTTATGAAAAACCCTTTGAAATGAGTACAAACACGATGGGGTTATCTTTAAAAATAGAAAAGTTAACCTAAATAACCTAAAATAACTTAGGCGCCATCTTGAAAATTATTTTATAACCTAAACCCATAAAGTTTGATGTGATTTTACATCTTATACGATTTTATTAATAATTTTTTTTTATATAATTAGATTATCATTAGGAATAAAAAAAATAACCTAAAAAGTCAAGACGCCATCTTGAAAATTTGATATAAAATAAACTCATCGGGTTTAATGTCATTTTATAAATGACTCAATTTTATTAATAATTTTTTTAAATAATGCGATTTTCTTCATAAATAAAAAAGATAACCTAAAATAACCTAGCCGCCATTTTGAAAATTCGTTGTAACACAAGCACATCGAGTTTGACATCGTTTCAAACGATTTTTTGTGTTCTATTCGATTTTATTAATAAAAACTTTTTACTTTGTAGGATTATTTTTAAAAATAAAAAAGATAACCTAAAAAAACCTAGGCGCCATCTTGAAATTTTCTTTAAAAATAATTTTATCGAGTTTGATGTCATTTTAAAGCAATTTTTATTTTGTAATCGATTCTCTATAAAAAAAGTTTTTGAAAAAATAAAATAAAACCTAAATTAATCACGTCGCCATCTTGAAAATTACGTCATAAGATAAAAATATCGAATTTAATGTTTAATATATGAAAAAAATCGTTTAAAATGAGTATAAACATGATGAGGTTATTATTAAAAATAAAAAAGATAACCTAAAAAAACCTAGGCGCCATCTTGAAATTTTCTTTAAAAATAATTTTATCGAGTTTGGTGTCATTTTAAAGCAATTATTATTTTATAATCGATTCTCTATAAAAAAAGTTTTCGAAAAGATAAAAGAAAATCTAAATTAATCACGTCGCCATTTTGAAAATTACGTCATAAGATAAAAATATCGAATTTAATGTTTAATATATGAAAAAAATCGTTTAAAATGAATATAAAGATGATGAGGTTATTATTAAAAATAAAAAAGATAACCTAAAAAACCTAGGCGACATCTTGAAATTTTCTTCAAAAATAATTTTATCGAGTTTGGTGTCATTTTAAAGCAATTTTTATTTTATAATCGATTCTCTATAAAAAAGTTTTCGAAAAAATAAAAGAAAATCTAAATTAATCACGTCGCCATCTTAAAAATTACGTCATAAGATAAAAATATCGAATTTGATGTTCAATATATGAAAAAAATCGTTTAAAATGAGTATAAACATGGTGAGGTTATTATTAAAAATAAAAAAGATAACCTAAAAACCTAGGCGCCATCTTGAAATTTTCTTTAAAAATAATTTTATCGAGTTTGGTGTCATTTTAAAGCAATTTTTATTTTGTAATCGATTCTCTATAAAAAAAGTTTTCGAAGAAATAAAATAAAACCTAAATTAATCATGTCGCCATCTTGAAAATTACGTCATAAGATAAACATATCAAATTTGATGTTCAATATATGAAAAAAATCGTTTAAAATGAGTATAAACATGGTGAGATTATTATTAAAAATAAAAAAGATAACCTAAAAAAACCTAGGCGCCATCTTGAAATTTTCTTTAAAAATAATATTATCGAGTTTGGTGTCATTTTAAAGCAATTTTTATTTTGTAATCGATTCTCTATAAAAAAAGTTTTCGAAAAAATAAAATAAAACCTAAATCAATCATGTCGCCATCTTGAAAATTACTTTATAAGAAAAAAAAAATATCGAATTTGATGTTCAATGTATGAAAAAAAATCGTTTAAAATAAGTATAAACATGGTATTATTAAAAATAAAAAAAATAACCTAAAAAACCTAGGCGCCATCTTGAAATTTTCTTTAAAAATATTTTTATCGAGTTTGGTGTCATTTTAAAGCATTTTTGATTTCCTACGTGATTTTATTAATGAAAATTATTTCGTATCACGGGCATATATATAATCGTAGAAAAAAGATAACATAAAAATCCTAGTAGCCATCTTGAAAGTTCGTTTAAGATGGATTATTTTGAAATATGTTTAGAACAAATTCCAAACTAAATTAAACACAATTTAGAAGTGTTCGGACTCATTTCAGAATGTTGAGGAGTTTTTGGTCATCACTGTATTCAATTGAATATACAGTGATGAGCAAAAATTGAAGTATCTCAAAAAAAAATTTTGTACCTCTTCAAATTCATCTTCTTCCTCGCTACTATACCACAAATTGGTAATCCAGTGAAGAACATCTTTGGTTAAATAAAACTCGACTTTTTCGACTTTAACCGGACGTTTATTAAATTCCTGTTCGACGCATTCTTGAAAAACGGTCGAAACCGGTCGTTCTTCCGCGAAATTAATTTTACAATCGGCCGAACTTTGCCCGGAACCGCTCGACGTGCACTCCCAAAGCCGAACGTAAACACTTTTCGAATTATTCGAATCTTTGTGCATACTAATCTCCTTATTTTCTTGTTTCGAACACAACAACAACGAAAACTCCGACGAGTTCGGTCGAAAATACCGCGACGGCTCGTAATTTTCCGTACGAAAACGCAACTCCTCCAACCAACAAGTTAAACTATCGGGAATATCCTCCGATTTAAACATTTGACTCGACTTTATCGTCTTGTTTTATTTTCTTTATCTTTTTTTTATCTTTATTTGCTTTGATTCGATTCTTTTTGAGTCACTATTTTATTTCTTTTTTTTTTTAATACGAAATAAATTAATAACTAGCGAGAAGGAAGCGAAGAATACAACAACGCGATGTTGACTACTCAAAAAACTCAAACGCACTCAAACAAACGTGTGTCTTTGCTTGAGCACGAGCCGTCGCTTAACTGACCGCGTTAATTGGTTCAATTAATTTTATATGAAAGAACTCCGTCAAAGAGCAAAGTTGAACGTGCTTTGGTTAACCTCGCTTTCGAATTTCATTCAAATACTTAACTTACACAAATTTATATTTATTATTCTTAGTCTGCTTTAAAAAGCGAATTATTATTTATTTAATAAAGCGCCCTCTAGAGGATATTATTTTTTATATATTTAGAATCATTTAAAATCATTAATTTGATATTTTTAAAATGGTATCAATATTTAACACAGTCCGATTAATAAACAATCCACTTTTCGATTGAAAGAGTCACTTAAAAAAAACCACCCTCAACATAAAGGTAACAAACTTGTAAAACACTCTATCTGCCGCTTGCAAACATTTTTAGTAAGTGCGCGGCAAAATTATCGCTGTCACGGACTTGCCGCTGTTGATGTAATGTTTGCCGAGGTCGCTTGCGGCCGAGGCAATAGAGCATATGCTCAGCAATCCTGGGTTGCTTTGAAATTCATTGAAATGCTTCGATTGGAAGCAACTTTTGCTTCATGAGGCAGACTCATACATTTGTTTTTTGATTTATTTATTTATGTTATTGTTAGAACAAGGAATTATGATTGTTGCTCACTCCGCCGAGGTCGCTTGCGGGCGAGGCGTTACAATGAATTCCACATCAACATAAAACTGGTGAACATGTATTGTACTGCCTCGGCTGCAAGCAACCTTGACATATAAGTTACATTTTATTGTTTGCCGAGGTCGCTTGCGGCCGAGGCAATAGAGCATGTGCTCAGTAATCTAATATTGTTATGAAATTCATTGAAATGTTTCGATTGATAGTGACCTTTGCTTCATGAGGCAGACTCATACACTTGTTTTTTGGTTTATTTATTTATGTTATTGTTAAGGTGTGACCAGACAATGCGCGGCAGGTGCGCGGCAGCAACGCGCGGCGTTCGTCGGACACAATTCTGCCGCGCGCCAGTTTGGACGTATTCAAATAACGTGTGCGCGGCAGTGCTACGCGGCATATGTGCGGCACGCCGCGCGCGAATGCCGCGCAATGTCTGGACACACCTTTAGAACAAGGAATTATGATTGTTCGTCACTCCGCCGAGGTCGCTTGCCGGCGAGGCGTTACAATGAACTCCACATCAACATAAAACTGGTGAAAATGTATTGTATTGCCTCGGCTACAAGTAACCTTGACATATAACTTACATTTTATTGTTTGCCGAGGTCGCTTGCGGCCGAGGCAATAGAGCATGTGCTCAGTAATTAGTAACTAGTATATATATAATTGTAGAAAAAAGATAACATAAAAATCCTAGCCGCCATCTTGAAAGTTCGTTTAAGATGGATTATATTGAAATATGTTTAGAATAAATTCCAAACTAAATTAAACACAATTTAGAAGTGTTCGGACTCATTTCAGAATGTTGAGGAGTTTTTGGTCATCACTGTATTTAATTGAAATATACAGTGATGAGCAAAAATTAATGTATTGTATTGCCTCGGCTACAAGTAACCTTGACATATAACTCACATTTTATTGTTTGCCGAGGTCGCTTGCGGCCGAGGCAATAGAGCATGTGCTCAGTAATCTTATATTGTTATGAAATTCATTGAAATACCTCGCTTAGAAGCAACTTTTGCTTCATGAGGCAGACTCATACATTTGTTTTTTGGTTTATTTATTTATGTTATTGTTAGAGCAAGGATTTATGATTGTTCCTCACTCCGCCGAGGTCGCTTGCGGGCGAGGCGTTACAATGAATTCCACATCAACATAAAACTAGTGAACATGTATTGTATTGCCTCGGCTGTAAATAACCTTGACATGTAACTTACAATTTATTGTTTGCCGAGATCGCTTGTGGCTGAAGCAATAGAGCATGTGCTTAGTTATCTTAGGTTGTTTTGAAATTCATTCTAACGCCTCGCCCGCAAGCGACCTCGACGGAGTGAGGTAAAATCATACTTTCTTGCTCTAATAACATAAATAAATAAAAAAAACCTGCGATACATGATTTTACTTCATTACGCCGAGGTCGCTTGCGGGCGAGGCGTTACAATGAATTTCAAAACAACCCAAGATTACTGAGCATACAGTCCATTGCCTCGGCCGCAAGCGACCTCGGCAAATATTAAATCAATAGATACATAATTTAACTTCTTTACGCCGAGGTCCCTTACGGGCGAAGCGTTGCAATGAATTTCACAACAACCCAAGATTACTAAACATATGCTCTATAGCCTCGGCCGCAAGCGACCTCGGCAAATATTAAATCAAGAGATGCATGATTTTACTTCATGACGCCGAGGTCGCTTGCGGGCGAGGCGTGACGATGAATTTCAAAACAACACAGGATTACTGAGGACATGCTCTATTGCCTCGGCCGCAAGCGACCTCGGCAAATATTAAATCAAGAGATACATGATTTTACTTCATTACGCCGAGGTCCGTTGCGGGCGAAGCGTTACAATGAATTTCAAAACAACCCAAGATTATTAAGCATATGCTCTATTGCCTCGGCCGCAAGCGACATCGGCAAATATTAATGCAAAAGATACATGATTTTACTTCATTACGACAAGGTCCTTTACGGGCAATTTATGACGATAAATTTCAAAACAACACAAGATTCTTGAGGACATGCTCTATTGCCTCGGCCGCAAGCGACCTCGGCAAATATTAAATCAGAAGATATATAATTTTACTTCATTACACCGAAGTCGCTTGTGGGCGAAGAGTGACGATGAATTTCAAAACAACCTAAGATTGCCGAGCACATGCTCTATTATATATCTATATGCTCTATATATAATAAAATCATGTATCTCTTGGTTTAATGTTTTCCGAGCTCGCTTGCAAGCCT